AATGAAAAGATACAAGGCTTTATTAATGAAGCAATATCAAAATTAGAAATCAAAGTAGTAAATACTGATACTAACAAGAAAAGGAGTTTTCCTGGGTTTTGACTTGAAAGGAAAATTTTTCCTTTTTAAAACCTGCTTATATAACAATACCCTAGTAAAAGATCTTGAACAAAACATTACAGAGCAGCATTTCAAATAACTTCATTCATTGTTTATAGAACATAGTTCCCAAACTGCATATTCAGCAAGGATGTAAATTTCTCTGTGACTTCTTGAGAACAAGAAAGTTATCTAAGCCACCTTATTTTACTTTTTAGGGAAGTTATTCTTCTTGAAAGCATAAGAATTTAAAAAGATTGCAGAATCAATATGTCAGTAAATACTAAATATTCCAATGAGCTTTATGTAAAAAGGTAGAAACTCATATTTGACCTGTCTACCAAAAATGAGAGTGGAAAGTCTGCCTCCAATTGTTGAAATATGCCGTATTTTGCACTTTTGACAGACCTTGCCTTGAGTTTCTCAAAATCAAAGCTCATCTTAAAATGATAACTGAATTGTGGTCACTTGCAAGTTTAGCTTTTTATGGGGAAAAAAACCCCTGAATTTATCAGAAGTCAGAAAGTTAAAAAAAATGATCTACTGGACAACATGGAAATTAATTTTCACTGACATGGAAGCCTAGCTATTATGTAAAGATTTTTCACATGAATCTGCTTGTCAGTAGGTGTACCAATACTACTACTTATAATAACGTACATTTGAAGTTCTACCTCCTTCTACTGCCTCTTTCACTTATACTCATCAAGCACAAGTAAAAAGATTTCACATATCCATGAACCAGGAAAAAAGAAAAATATTCGTAAATCTCCCACAGAGTGACAGGGACAGACTGGTTCCACATTAGTATCACTCCTTTTGAAGGAAGTTTCCTACCTGCATGACCCAAAAAAAAAAAAAGCCTCATAACTGTGATTTTGGAAGCAGGTGCTGTATATACATTGGGGAAAAAAACCCATACGTATATATGTATCTACACACATGACAAAATCCCACACCATCATGCTTAGAAATAGCTAAAATGCCTCCTTGAAGAAAAGAAAAATTAAAAAGAACGAAAAACCAAAACACAGGAACTTCCCCATCCAAGAGGATCTTTTTACCTTTTGATCAAGAGCTCCATTACATCAATTCAAGGCCTCTCTCAATCAGAACAGTAAAAACTTCCAAACATTATCACGTCAACATCATTCTCAAGCACACACAGAAGACTTACAACTTTCCATTTGATTCCTGACCCCACAAATAACCTAATGTTACCAGATAAATACGAGTGTTGTTTTCCCTCATGCAATTCTTAGCACTCTGCAGAAATTAACAAAAAGCTTTGCGTATTACATTATTTCGCTAAGTTTTACCCCTACAAGAGAAAAGAGAAGCAAATAACATCAGATCCCTTGTACTTCAAAACATACAGCAAGTTTGCTAGTGTCTTCTTTGACTTTTTGAGGCAGTAGTATTAACTGTCAAGTAGTTAATAAAGTAAAGAGTTTGAATGTCTCAGTAATATTGCAGGGGATGATAGCAATTGGATACTGTGGAAAGATTTTTCACTGTATTTTAAAAATATGGTATGATTTTTAAAAAAGGAAGAGTAGCTAAAATGTGGGGAAAGCATGTTTAAAAAGAAATCTTGTATCTTGCACAAGTCAGCTCTAGAAAAAGAATTAATCTGCAGTCCAAAGAAGAACGAAACACTAAAAACAAATTATTAATGTATTAATGAGAAATATTCTTCTTCTAAGAAGTTAAGACATAAAATCTCTCTTCAAAGTAGGTACACAGTATTACTCATTCAGTTCAACCTTTATTATATTCTTCAATTCTGGATGAGTGGTCGGTGAAGTGGATAGAGATCTGGCTGAATGGCAGAACTCAGAGGGTTGTCATCAGCGGCGCTGAGTCTAGTTGGAGGCTGGTGACAAGTGGTGTCCCTCAGGGGTCAGTACTGGGCCCAGTCTTGTTTAACTTCTTCATCAACGACCTGGATGAAGAGTTAGAATGTACCCTCAGCAAGTTTGCTGATGACACCAAACTGGGAGGTGTGGTAGATACACCAGAAGGCTGTGCTGCCATTCAGCGTGACCTGGATAGGCTGGAAAGCTGGGCAGAGAGGAACCTGATGAGGTTCAACAAGGGCAAATGCAGGGTCCTGCACCTGGGGAGGAACAACCTCATGCACCAGTACAGGCTTGGGGTGGACCTGCTGGAGAGCAGCTCTGCGGAGAGGGACCTGGGTGTCCTGGTGGACGACAGGTTAACCATGAGCCAGCAGTGTGCCCTGGCTGCCAAGAAGGCCAATGGGATCCTGGGGTGCATCAAGAAGAGTGTGGCCAGCAGGACAAGGGAGGTTCTCCTTCCCCTCTACACTGCCCTGGTGAGGCCTCATCTGGAGTACTGTGTCCAGTTCTGGGCTCCCCAGTTCAAGAAGGATGAAGAGCTACTGGAGAGAGTCCAGCGGAGGGCTACAAGGATGGTGAGGGGACTGGAGCAGCTCC